TGGTGGTGGTGGTGATGGTTGTGGAGGTGGTGATGATGTGCCAAATGTCAAGCTTCCGGAAAGGCTGGGAAGAACACACAAAGCACAAGAGCTCAATTTACTTATTATAGTGCTGTGACTTTTAACCTTTGGTAGAAAAAGTCTTCATTCCAGGGTAGCACTGCTCCCTCCTCATCATATTTGAGTTGCCACCAGGTCCTCAGTCATGTGGGAGCTCAGGCCTCCTAAAGCTCTGATCCTCAGATATACTGTTTGGTGGGTAGGTGCTGGCATGAAAGATTGTTTCCACCATGAAACTCAGATAGGCTGAGTTGAGCAGCAGCTTCACCGAGAAGCATAAGGGACACCGCCTTAGTACTGGGAAAAGACAGACAGAAGTGTGACTTCTCTCACGAAACAGTGGCAGCCATGTACGTGCGAGGGATTTGCCAGAGTAACTCCCGGGAAAGGGTCCCAGAGCTGACTGAGGAGGTAATGGACCTCATTATCGGTTCTCATGCTGTCACAACCACGGGAGCTGCCTTTCCAGGGTGCCGTGTTAACGCTCACGTCCAGGAGTTTTCCAGAAGAAAACGCTTCTGAGGAAAGTAGTGTTCCACAGAACTGCAAGTGTGGAATGCTTGGCCGGGCAGACATCACAGCATGGGTGAAACTCTTCTGTTCCAAGTGGTTGGAAAAAAATAAAAATAAAAAAAACAAAAACAGCTATATGCAGACAACCACTGTGGCTCTGTAGACAGAGTTCGAGACCCAGTCCTTGGTTTTAGCTGTATAAGCTCCAGCCAGTTAGGCATTCTAAACTTCACTTTGCACATTTGTAAAATGGAGATAAGATTACTACTCGCCTCACAGAGAGTCCAAAATTTAAGGCAGAGGCTGAGAACAGTAGTTCAGAAATGCTATTTCCATGAACCATCTCATGACCTATTCTCTCTCCACGTCAGGGCTGCAGCGATCAATGGAAATGACCTAAGCCAACAAAAGTCTCACTCCCTCCATACTTTAAGTCCTTCAGAAGAGTCCTAGTCACGGTTGTACATTAAATATCTAGGTAGGGTCTATGTACGTGCCAGCTTCCATTTTTTTAATGCCCACGTGTTTTAATGCATATAAAAACAAAAGTTGTGTATGTTTATGGGGTATCAACATTCTGAGACATCTATAAGTTGCGTAACGCTTAAATGAGGGCATACCATTCCATCTGTTCACTTACAGTTTATGGTGGAAGCATTCAAAGTTCTCTCTTCCAGTACTTTGAAATGCACACCGCATTGCTGCTAACTGCAATCACCCTACTACGCGCACGGAAACAGCTTGCTCCTGTCTAACTACAGGCTCCCATTTTTACAGCGGGTTTGATTTTATAATTGGGGTAAGACCTCAACACACAGAACAGTGTTCTCTCGGCGCTGGTAAGTCTACAAAAAGGTTATGTTTCTGCTCTGTATCTACAAACCTCTGACAGGCATCCTTCCTGGTAATGGGTTGCCCAAAAATCTTCTCTGGTAAGAATCATTTTCAGAAAAGAAATAATAATGTTTTAATACATGTGATAGATTATTATTATTTTTTTTTACAATAATGGTCTCCAATAGATCCCATCTCCCACTCTCACATATCTGGGCACTTTCCTCCCATGCTGTCTCTGGACTTGGCCACTTGAGTTGGCTGATGGGATCATTATCGAACTTGACAGAAGCAGAGATTGGGAGCAGACTTGCCAATTGAGCTTGACTCGTTCTTTTTGCTGAGAACTTTCTGGCGTTAGGTGAAGAAACACGAGCCAACCTGCTGGAGATGACAGCCTAGACACCAGCCAGCACCACCCCCACCCCTGCCCCCATCCATATGAGCAAAGCCATTGTGGGCTTCCAGCCCCATCTGAGTTGCCAGATGCTTGCAACCGCATGAATGGCTCTGATGAAACTGGTCCCCAAAATGCCCAGCTGCGTCCAGCCCTCACTGCTGACCTGCAGAATAATGAACTGATAAAACTGCGGTTGTTCTTAGCTACCAAGTGCCGGAGGGGTTTGTCAAAGCAGATAACTGAGGAACTTAAAATTTATAGATACGGTGGCGGTCATTTTTGTCCTCTTGTCTATATTTCTAGAAGAGGCTTTTGGTGCATGATTTGTTTGTGGAAAGTCCAGAGAGCCCTGTTTGTTTGTTTGTTTGTTTAGTTGATTTTGGATAATCCAGACTAGAAGCTCTGCCTGGGAAATTCTTGAGAAGTGTAGCAGAACTGTCAGCTAAACAAAACAAGAGTCCCTGAATAGCAGGAGAGAAATTAGCTGGCAGCAAGGACATGCCACACTCCTGGGAAATGAGTTCCTGACACCATTCTGCATATCCCAGCAGCAATCCTTTGCCCTGACATTCAGCATGCACAATCACGCAGGCATGCTCGGTTGTTGAAAAAAGCTGATCTTCACCTGGTGAACAGATGTAGCTAAGTAGCTGAGTAAATTCTAGAGCCTCACTTAAGGAACATGCCTGCTAACTCATACCTATGACAAGGAGGTGGGTGGGGAATGCGCTCTGAAAGATTCTGAAGAACTTAAAAACAATGAGAAACAAGAGCAATAGACACATTCAAAGCAGAGACTCTACCTTTTCTGTGGTTCTGCCTACCCTCCAGGTAAAGAAATAACCAGGAATAGTCAACTTCTCTAAACCAGCAAACAATGCAAGCTCCTGGGAAGGGGGTCAAATTAAGGTCACCAAAATAATCAGGGTGATCTATGAGGGACAGAGAGAGATTAACTGAAAGGTTCAGGATTCAACGAAGAAGCCCACATTCCAGTGGACATTCCTCTCGGTGATCTGGAAGAAGTATTTGTTAAATATTTTGTTCCAGAGGAGAGACACCGTAGGGATTTGAACCGATGCGGGGGATAATAAAGACAATAATGGAAAGAAGACGAAGAGACACAGACTGGAGGAACACATTGGCTTCATTCTGCTTCCTCCAACAATCACAAACTAACATCCCCCCCCCCCCATTGGGGGCCCCTGAGATAGACTCCTTATTGTAAATAAGGCTATTTAAAAATCTTATTTAAATATCGCTTAGAGTAGCAAGGCCACTGTTGATTTTTAAGATGCATTCTTCCTTCTTATGACAACAACCCTCCTCTCTTCACACCCTCTTGCTTGGATGGAAACGGGGTCCTGTGGTATGCATGTGACCATCATTAAGGCACCTTAAGCCACTGGCACCCACTAAGGAGGGTCCCAGGCCCCTACTAGGACCAACGGGATGCTGTAAAGCATTTGGGACTGAAGGAGGCACTTCGGCTCTAGCAGAAGGTGGGGCCAGCGCCATCGTGTGCACTTAGATTCTGGGATAGAAGCCAACACAGTGGGGGAAGACAGCCAGGTAAGGTGGAATTTGAGCTCTGAATCCAGCCTCATCTGAAACCATGCTTACCCCTTGATGTTTGGTTACCATAGACCAACAAATTCCATTTTTGCTTAAGTCAATTGCTTTCTGTCGCTTGCTATCAAGAGAGCACGGGGAGGGGGGGTGTCATCTCTTAATGGTTTTCTCATCTGTAAAAACAGGGATATTCTGCTAAAAGGGTACATCTATCTGCAGCCCGTAGCTCTGATTCTAAAGCGGGAGGGCTTTGTAATATCCTGCCAGCCGCATTGGCTCTCCTGATCGTCGTCAACAGGGTGAACTGTATTGAGTGCCCGCTGTACTTTAAGCACATTGTTTTCTTTCCCTTCTGCATGCTCATGGACAGCAAATGTATAGAACTTCACCAGATGCCATTTACATAACATGGAGAAATGGACCCTGGAGTGTGATCTCGCTATATAGACTGGAGTCTAGGAACAGGAAAAAGCAATTACATTGAGAAGAGAGCATTATCATCTTTGAAGCATTGGACATGTGTAAACATAGTCCGTACCTTTTCTAAATATTGCCCAATGCTGCTTTTAACCAGAATTATGCAGGCATAAAATATCCTTGGCTTGCAAATTTTCTATTAACTTGAACATACTGGGAACACTTAACAGCAAGGAAGTACTGAAAATGCCAAAGAAATTAATGGTTTTGTACTGGACTACTGAAACATGTCCACTAATGTTTAAAATTCCATGTCCCAGAACATCACTCATTTCTGCTGAGGGAAGCCGAAAGACCAGGAATCTGCTGGGTGAATCATCCTTTTCTTAAGTTTCCTGTTGAGGGTTTTTTTTTTTTTTTTCCTTCCATCCCTTTCTTTCCCCTGACTGTACCCTTTCCCCCTGGGAGTAATTGAAAAGTTATTTATAAGAGGTGAGGAAAGGATTACACATCCTAGGTTATGATTTATCATATAGGTAAAAAGAAACCCAAATGAATAGAATAGCCATTCCTCATTAAAAACAGTCATGCGGAGTCAACACTTACAGGGCCTAGAAACCCGTTGTTGTCGTCGGCGTCTTTGAGAGAAACCTGGGGGCCCTGTTCACTGTTGAGGCAGCCAAACCTCAAGGTCACACCACAGGGTTCCTTCTTAAGCTCCCTATTCATCCTTCTCCCCAGATGATGTCTGACAGGGAAGGTGGAGTGCCTGCCAGCCAGTCATAGCACCAACCCACCTGACAGACCTCAGTGTGCCTTTTGTGCAGTCTCGAATCACTAGAAGCCCCGGGGTACGCTGCATTCAGTACAAAGACTGGGAAATGGTTCTACCGAGGAATGTAAGCAATCCGTGTATTATTTGCCTGCTTAGCCAGCAAGGTCTTTTTCTTCCTCCACAAATATTTGTGAAGTGCCCACCTGTGCCAGGCACTGAGCTAGGCCCGAGAGAAGTGTTTACGTGCTTCACGGCATCTCCTTATCCGTAATTATCACTTTTGCGGCTCATTCCTCACTCCACAGAATGACAAGAGTGGTGGTAACGGCCCTTTACCACACCGTTCTCTACCTCGGTGTGTGTTGGGGGGGGTCTCTTAAGGTAGTCTCTCAACAGAAAGAGTCTAGTCCAAAGGGTTTGGGTGTGGCTTGTTGGGGGAGCAACCGCTCAGCATGCCCTGGTTCTATCCCCCAAACTGCAAACAATGATAACAATAATGAAACTGACCCTTTGTCCTCTTCCTCATTTACCAGTCTCCAGCCGTGTGCCACATCCAAGCAGTTAGTCCCCTGCTTAACATACCAAAACAGCAGCCCGTTCTGGTCCCATTTTCCTACCTTGGTCCACACTCTGAAAATCTCGAGGCCCCTCTTCCTCTGCGGTCTCCAGACACTGTTTACATGCTACCCTCAGAGTTAGCCCCTCCTCTTCTTCAGGACTCTGTGTCTCTGTGTCTCTGCAGCTAGACTCACACACAGGCAGTGTGGACCACCGGACTTGTGTGCTGGGAGCTGCATCTCAGTCCTCCGTAAGAACAGCAAGCTCTCCTAACTGCTGAGTCATCTCTCCAGCCCCCAAAGTTAAATTTTTAGACCTAAACCCAGGTCATTTCACTGCCTTCTTACAAGTCCCATTCCCCCCACCTGACTCTCGGATTATCCTACCTGCCTTGTAGGATCAAGTCCCATCTCTTTCGCATGACCAAGTCTTGAGAACTTTAACTCTGCCTAATTAGCAGCCTATTCTTCTGGTTCTCGGCCACATGTGTTGGCCCCTCCCCGACACAGTCGCCACCCCCTCCCCCCACACACATAGTTTATGTGCTTTTGGACATGGTGTTCTCTGTTCCTGAAAGCCTTCTCCACCTTCTCTGTCCGGAGAACTATTTTCAACGTGTTTTCTAAGAATCGCTTCAAGGTATTCTTTATGAGACCTTCCCTGTCCTGGGTTGTTATTACTCTGCACTTCCAGAATCCTCCAAGCATAGCTTTACCCAGCATAGCTTGTTTAATATCCAATTGTGATGATTTGTTTGCATAGAGACCTGTACTGTTCATCTGTGAGCTCATTAGCATACCTTGGTCGTCTCGGTGTTCCCAGAACGCAGCACAGTCTTACAGTAGATAAGAGGTGTTGGAGAGAAAGAAATATAAGGTCCATTTCTCATCCACCCCTCCTTCCAAAAGGTAAGATAAACTAACATTTTATTTATGAATAATTAACTAGTTAAGAGGAATAAGAAGCAGAGACTGCCGAGTGTTCCAGGCTTACGGATTTAAGAGGACATATTAGTAGTTTAGAAAAATCAAGGCAGGAGAAATTGGTTTGGATCGTGGAGAGTTGTCATTCACTAAATAGAGAAATAGAAGCAGGACATGAAGGAAAAAGAGACTTACTACATAAGCTAGGGCCAAAGGCGGTAAAGACTGCATACAGGGTTGAGATAGGGCTGGGTGGTGCGGTTGGACCTTGAGTCAGAACGTGGGCTTTGCCCCATAAACAACTGAACATTTTTGACCCAGGAAGTAGCTGCTGAAATGGTAATTCAAGATCAATTAGCAGATGGTATTCAAATGCATCAAAGGTAGAAAAACAAATTAGGGAGCTATTGAACAATGCATGCTTGAAGAGATGGAGTCTCGACCACAGTATTGACAAAAGAATTAGAAGGGAAGAGGAGCCGCTCCTGTGGATGGAGTTGGACAGCCAGGGGACTCTTCAGCCAGAAGGGAAAGGAAATAGATAACTTAGACGTTTCAAGCCAGGGAGAAAAATGGCAATTTGAGCAAATAGGAAAGTTAATGGAAGGACGGTACTGTGGGAGACAAGAATGAATTTTACCTGAGAGTCGTAACAGTTGGGAGAACTATAGCAAAGCAGACTAGAAATGTCCAGTGGACAACTGGAGGTTAAAGGCAGCACTGTGGTGCAGGACTCAGAATTCCCCAGCATCCAGGACTGTCTGAAATAACAATATTAATGCATTTGTAACTCATGATTGAGTTTCAAAAAAAATATTCATTGTGTATTAACATTTAGGAGTTATTTAAATAACAAAATGCTTTATTGTGAAAAACCTGTACAATTTTTAAAGGTACATTTTATTTTTATTTTTATTAATTACAGTTTATTTACTTTGTATCCCAGCTGTAGCTCCCTCCCAACCTCACCCTCCCTTCCTCTTCTCCATCCATGCCCTTCCCCCAGTCCACTGATAGGGAAGATCCTCCTCCCCTTCTATCTGACCCTAGTCTATCAGGTCTCATCAGGACTGGCTGCATTGTCTTCCTCTGTGGCCTGGTAAGGCTTCACCCCCCTGAGGGGGAGGTGATCAAGGAGCCAGCCACTGAGTTCATGTCAGAGACAGTTCCTATTCCCATTACTAGGGAACCCACTTGGACACTGAGCTGCCATGGGCTATGACTGTGCAGGAGTTCTAGGTTATCTCCACATATGGTCCTTGGTTGGAGTGTCAGTATCAGAAAACACCCTTGTGCCCAGATTTTTTGGTTCTGTTGCTCTCCTTGTAGAGCTCCTGTGCCCTCCTGGTATTTCTATCTCCCACTTCTTTCATAAGAGTCCCTGCACTCTGCCCAAAGTTTGGCTATGAGTCTCAGCATCTGCTTTGATACCCTGCAGGGTAGAGTCTTTCAGAGGCCCTCTGTGGTAGGCTCCTGTCCTGTTCCTTGTTTTCTTCCTCTTCCAATGTCCATCCCCTTTGCCTTTCTGAATGAGGATCGAGCATCTTACCCAGAGTCCTCCTTCTTGATTAGCTTTTTGACAACACATGCTAGAGGGGATGTGGAGAAAGGGAAACCTTCCTCCATTGCTGGTGGGAATGTAAATTTGTACAACCACTTTGGAAATCAATCTGGTACTTTCTCAGACAATTAGGAATAGTGCTACCTCAAGATCCAGCTATACCACTCCTAGGCTTATATCCTAAAGATGCTCAAGTACACAACAAGGACATTTGCTCAACCATGTTCGTAGAAGTTTTATTTGTGATAGTCAAAAGCTGGAAACCCCCCAGATGCCCCTCAGTTGAGGAATGGATACAGAAATTGTGGTACATTTACACAATGGAATACTACTCAGCAATTAAAAAGAAGGAAATCAGGAAATTTGTAGGCAAATGTTGGGAACTAGAAAATATCATCCTGAGTGAGGTATCCCAGAAGCAGAAAGACACACATGGTATATACTCACTCATAAGTGGATATTAGACCTGTACAATTTTAAAACAATACAAATTTGAAAGTGGTCGGAGAGACAATATAGCATGGCCGAATCAGCTCTTTAACTGGTGATTTTAGACCTCAGTTTCCTCATTTAAAAGAAAATTATATTTATAGAGTTTTGGGGGTGACAAAACTCTATAAGCCCGGGCATAAAAGACTCCTCAAACAGAGTCTGGGATATGGTAACGACATAATAAACATTGGCCGTTACCATTAATAACCAAAATTAGTTAAAATAAATAATTTTCTAGAGTGCAGAAAATGTTCTCATTTTATTTCTCCACCAATTACATAAGGCAAATATTGCCACTGTATTTCCGACGGAGGAAGCACAGCTCAGCAAGGTTGATTAGTCAGACAAACAGGAGTAACTCCAATTGAGATTTTTCTAGGCCAAATCTCCTACGACCCTAAACCTACTGAGTCTGGTTTGGATTTGGGGTCAAGTGATTGTCACTTATGCAAACCTCTGAGCATCACCAAATCTCAATGACAGGCTTCGACATCAAGTCCTTATTTGTCTCAGTGGTAACCCTCCCTTCAAATACACCAAAGCTATCAAGCTCATCAGAGAACAGTACATTCTTAGAAAAGGAGGTCTTTAAAGATGGCATCGCCTCTCCCCTAGTGTTTACAGTGCTGTGCCTCGGTACCCCGCCCAGTCCCCGGCATCCTCCAAGACTCCAGGATGCAGTTCACGATAAGCTTCTCCTCTAATTTAGAACAGAGGATGCTAATACGAGTCTGATATCTGTCGGCAAGAGTCTCACCCGACTGGGACAGCTGCCCATCAACCATACATTTCAAGTGGTTCTTCCAGCATTAAAAACGATTGGGAAATTGTGCTGGAGACAACCCTGATGGGGGATTTTTGCCTGGTAGCTGTGAAAATGGTTATTGCTGACCCCTTTCTATCTTTGAATTACTGTTTAACTTTCTGTCCGGACATATGGAAAGGAGAAATCTTTGGGGATGTTGCCGGATAAATCTGGCTTACCTTGGATTCCTGAACAGACAGTTTGTCTAAGAATAGACTCCAAGGGGAGTTACAAGGGAGCAAAGTGGCATCGTGAGATCGGGGTGTTTTGTTCACTGCTCCCAGTAGCTCTTGATTTCTGAGGTGAAAAAAGTCATGTCATAAGGACATGCAGAATTAATAGTGAAGAGCTGGAAAGATGACAGGTAGTTCTGAGACAGCTCTATTGACGTAAGGAACAAGATGGCCCCGTCATGTCCTTCCACCAAGAAAGACATCAAGGCAGGAGACAGATGTGTGGTTTACAAGAGGTGGCGACAGGAAATTTCAGGCTCCAATCCTACCTTGGAATGCTGATTCTATCGTGGCCAAGGGCATTTCTTCCATGCCTCTTTCCCACATCTATAAAAAGGAGTTAATCAAAGGTGTTGCTGAGGTTTAATTAGTTAATACTGCAAAGCGCTTTGAAGATGCAAAGAAGATTATAAATATCCCAAGTTAAAAGTCCTCTTAAGAAATATAGGTTAAAGTTAAGATTTAGCAAATCATATTGTCCCCAAAATAGCATAGGGCAAACGAAGGTGATTTAGCTTTGACAGGGAATGTTCCCTGACACGGCTAGGATACTGTGGGTGATGTCATCTCCGCTCCTTTTAAGATTTTTCAGTTGTTGTTGGGAGGGTTAAAAGGAAATGTGCACACTCACATGTTCAGAGCACCCCTTCCCCAACCCAGGATCATCTGTCGAAAATGAAGGGAAAGGGAGAGGAAAGGATACAGAGAGACTAAGACTACGTGATCCCTCTCCAGGGTCTTAGAGGTGTGTGGGGTAGGGCTACACAGCTGTGGGTGGACAGCGAAAGAAACTGTAAGAGCTGGTCCAAGCTGGTCCACAAATCCAATCCCTATTCAAGTTGTGTAACCTCTCGGAACCTCTGTTTCTTCCTCCGAACGGAGAACTGTCCCCTCCCCCCACCCCCTAGGCCCAGGAGGAGATGCTGTGAAGTAATTGGTGTGAAGTGGCTAGACTGTAGCTCTTCCCTGGCTTCTGACGAGTGTAATCCATCCCGTTTCTGCTCTTCCCCCACCCCAGATCTTGTTCCTCCTAAACCTCTGACATACCAACTCACTGAATTACCGTCTTCGATTCAGAAGCGTTGAGATCATCTTATTTACTGCCTGTATCTTCCCTGAAGATCACAAGGGCTGCTTCCCACTGTGAGGCAGTGTTCCAGGGGAGGAAGTCGAATTTTTTTCAGCCAAGGTTGCCTCATGGGGAAACTCAATTTAAAAAATAAACAAATAAATAAGGCCTTAGATTGTTTTCTTTTAAAGACGTAATTATTTTTATTTTATGTGTGTTTATTCCATGTGTTTGCCCTTCATGTATCTTTCTTTTGATATGAAGGAACCTAACCAGGCATTCCTAGGGGCTTTTGTTTGAGGTAGTAGTCTCTAACAGAAAGGCTTGGTTGGAACTCACAGGCCTCTGGAACGGATACCACTTGATGG